TGTTGTTGTTATTGTTGTTTTATAATTGTTGTTTATAATTTGTACAATTAACCTCCCTGTGGTTCGACCCCGGTCTTGTCGGGTTATTTATTACTTCGACACTCCTGCACTTGGGAGAAGACATCAATCTTTTGGTCGTGTCGGCTGACTTCGGTCGTCGATGGAAGAAGAAAAAGAAACAGGGGCCTGCAAAGGAGAAAAGGAAATGCATGGTTGGAGTTGTTAGAGTTGTGGAGGAGAGAGCTGCTACCTTGGCTGCTTTCAAAAAAGAAGGGAGCTTCACGACAAGGTGGTGGCCATTGCCTTTGCTACTGCCGCCGGGATCACGGTGGCGAAGAAGAACATTTTCACAGAGGAGAGAGAGAAATGGTGCAACCACCACATGAGATGGTTTGGAGGCCATTTGAGGTTGAGGTGACGTCCAGAAGACAAGAAACGGTGATGGTGGTGGCTAAAAGCCACAGCGGAGAAAGAAAGAAGAAAAAGAGGCGGTTGCGGGAAAATTTGGCAGGGAAGGCTGGTTTTCGGCCAACTTTGGGTTCGTTTTTCTTCTCTCTCAGGTCATGAAATCCTCCTCTATTTATAGGCAATGGAAGATGGCAATCTTGTTTACATAAGGGAATAATTCTAACCCTTAATTCGAATGGGAAGAATCCCAATCGTTGGCTCAAAGTAGGCATGGTGCACTGTCAAACTGCAGCTGCAAGCTACCTGAAATGGCCTCTTTGGAGTGGTGCCACGTTTGTTTATATGCCAGTGAGCCGATGACGACCATACCCAGACGTAGAGGGATGTCTGGTGATTAGTTTCGTGCACGGTTTGACAAATTTGGTGAATATTAAGTGCATTAAATGCACCTACAAAGGAGATGATCAAACTAGTTTTTTCCAGAAAAATAAAGAAGATAATGAATAGTGATCAGACAACACGTCGTCTGGTCCTTTTTTTAAACTTAAAACGGCACCGTTTTAGGTTTTAAATAGGGATTTTTTTGAAGTTCATAGCAGTCCTCTAACTTTTACTTTTATGCAATTGTACCCCTAATGACCTAAACTTTTGATTTAATGCAATTACACCATTGTCGAATTTCAATTGGAACCCTAGATTTACGCGCCTTTTGCATATTAGTCCCTAGTCTCGGATTGTTGCAATTTAACCCCTAATTGACCATTAAACTTTTAATTTCTTCAATTAGTCCCTGGTTTTTGTCAATTATGCCCTTATTGTTCAACATCTTTTGCAAATTAGTCTTTGGCTGTGAATTTCTTCAATTTAACCCCTAATTAACCCCAAAACTTCAATTTTCTTGCAATTTGGCCCTAATTTCAATCAAATAACTTGGTAAAAATTAAACTTGGTCTCTTAAAATTCCAATCTTCTCAATTAAACCCAAATTAGGCCCTCAAACTTAATTTTTCACCAATTAAGCCCTAAATAAAATTAATTTGACCTATTTAAAATATAATTAAGTCCTTGCACTTAATTAAATCCTTCAATTGGACCCAAATTAATTGTTAAACATAATTTAAATTTAATTTGGCCTATGATTAAATCAAATTGGCCAATTAAAAATTTAATTATGTCCTTGGACTTAATTTTTATGCAAATTTATCCAATAATCATTAATTTGACCTTGAATTTGCATTTTTTTCCTCCATTTTTGGGCATAATGGGGGACAATTATCCTTGAATCTCCTCCAAAAATTACAGCTTGATAACTCGGCCTGCTTTCTCCATGTTGCTAGCCTTTAGTTTATTTTTTTATTTTTATTTTGAAAATAAATAAATAAATAATTTTTTAGGAAATAACCCAGAATTGGGTTATGACAGTTGTTGTTATATTATTATTATCTATAATTTATATAATTAACCTCCCTGTGGTTCGACCCTGGTCTTGCCGGCTTATTTATTACTTCAACACTTTTGCACTTGAGAGAAGACAACAATCTTTTAATTGTGTTAACAAGCAAGGAAATTTAGATCGAAGGAAATAGTTTTAGTGAAAGTGAAGTGGAAACATCATTCAAATAATGAAAAGACACGAGAGCTCGAGGATAAAATATGCGATGAAATCCTTATCTTTTCATTAAATTCGAAAAGTGTTCAGGTATTTTTGTCAAGTTTTAAGGACAAAGTTCTTATAAGGTAGGGAGAATGTAATGTTTTTAAAGGAAAAAAGAAAAGGATTTTAATAAGAAAGGAAAACAATGCCCTTAAAGGAGTAAGCATTAGGTATAAATGAGTGAAAGATACTTCGGTAATTGCATAAGGTTGATAGATAAATAGGAAGAGAAAAACAAAACAAAAAAAAAGAAATTAGAATTTAAAATATAAAATATAAAAAAACTGAAAGAGGGAAAGAAAATAAGTAACGAGATGAAAAGATAAATGAAGGAGAAGAGAGTTGGAGAAAATAGGTTTTAAGGTAAACATTATACTTTTATATGTATAATTCTTGTTCTTAGCTATGAGTTTGAAGTTGTTGAGAATTAAGAATTTAAATTTTATGTTTTGAGTTTAGTTGATGGATTAATTTAAATGTTATGGATTAATTGTTATAGGTTTTTAAAGTATACGTTAAAATGTTAAAGATATGCCATTTTAAGGAAACTGGTAAATTAGAATTCTAAAATCATGATCAGTCAGTCTACCGGTTTGTCTAAATAGTCAACGAGTTGGCCTAATGGCTCTCGTCAACTAGTTTATCAATTTTAGTCGACCGCTTCTCTCTATTGATTTAATCAACTACTTGGTCAATTTTGGTCGATTGATTAACCAAACAATGGAAGATGATTGATTCTTTTAGGTTTGGTAAGTTTGGGATCAAATGAGTGGATTTATTTTGGTTTTATAATTATATTTTGATCTCTAATTTTAGAGTTATAATCTATTATGTTATCTGCTTTAAGTTATTTTCAATATATTTTTTTTTGTATTCAGATAATCCTTGTATTAAACCTACTAAGCATCAATAGGATTTTCTTGTGGTAAATGATCATCTTATAGTTTGAAGTATCATACTCATTGTATATTGATTTTTTGACAAGCTTGATGGTATCTCTTGTTATAGCCTGCTTATAAAACTCTTCTTTAAAAGCATAAAGCCAAGCTTGTATATTTTTTTTATTATTATATTACCTCGTGGGTATATATTGAATGTTATTTACTCACTAAGTTGTTAAACTCATCCTCTTATTATTTATTCTTTTTAGACTTATAATTTTATTAGTAGGTTATTTTTGTTGAACTTCTATAACTTTTTTTTTATTGTAATCAATACTATTTTATTATGTCTAGTTAATACTCCACATTTACTAAATTGTATTAAGGATTATATTAAGATATTGATTTATATTATATAATTAATTATGATATTAAATGTTGTATAAAACTCTGATTGAATTAAAATAAAAGGTTTGTATGTATATTTCAGTTTGTATAAGTAAGAAACCTAGAGAGGGTTTGGGGATCGAGTTATAATAGAGCCAACTTAGACCAACCCGTATTTTAAGAGATGGGAATATGATAGATAAATAGAAAGAAAATTGAAGAGAATCATGAATTTTAATATAAAAAACCTTAACCTTGAAAATGAATTCCGAATTGATATAATGTTCAATGATAAAATTAAAAAAATATTTTTATAAATTATATTAAAAAATAATTTTAAATATTAAAGGATGGAATCAAAAGAATGACAAGTAAAAAAACTCTAGATAACTAGGATTATTTCATACCAACAAAAAACTCTATAGAAAAAAATAAATAAAAATATTAACTTAATTTTGAATGATAAGATTAAAAATAAAATATAACTTATAAAAAAACCAAATAAAAAGAAAATAAATATTATTATAGCGAATAGTATTTTACGAGGAGGGATATACTAAAATCCCCTCCTTTTTTTATTTTTTAAATATAAACTTAAATGTAAATTTAAATTATAACGATGTTATGTCATTTGTGGACACTTTCTATTTCAACAATTAACTAATTTCTTTTATTTTTGATTTTTCAATTCAATCCTCGACAATTCAGAAGTCCATGGAAGACTAACTAGTGGGACTCATGCAACCCATTTTTATCTTTAAAATCTCCTGCAATGCAAAGAAAATACATGTCCTTGTAAATCTATTATTGAATAATTGTAGCTCTCCGCCACTTTAATTTGACTATTTTTAGTAAAATAATAAAAAATGAAAATTACTGTTAACTTTTTTAGGTTTGTATCAAGTTTAATTGTGTCAATGAATCACTAAATCTTGTTCAATTAAATTAAAGATCAAACTCAAATAAAGCTTGGAAACCATATTTCAAAATCATCTTGCTTCATCTGTACGAGTATTCCTATGTGACAAATAAAAAGCCATATGCATAATTGCCATAAATTCTGTTTTATTTAGTGTATGTTTAGTACTGTGGTGTAAATTAGTTTTTATAAGTATTTTTATTTTAAAATCTATTAAAATAATTTATTTTAAAAATATTATATTTCATATTTGATAGTAGAATATCAAATCAATAAAAAAACATTACAAAATTGATTTATTAGTTTTATAGTAAAATACACTTTCAAAACATATTTTAAAACAAAAACTATCATACTCTTAAATACTCAAATTAATGTTTTATCAATTACAATTTCATTGAAGTGCATAGCTCTATCTATATATCTAACCTCCAGCGAGAGGCAATTACCTCACAACATTACATGACAACATTCCATAATATTTTCAACAATTAATGAAAAGTAAAAAATCTGACACACAAGGACTTAAGAAAAAGAAGAGGAAGAAAGCTAAGGTTTAGCATACGTTAACCCAAACAGCATTGCTAGGAATGCCAGCATGGACAACGAACATCATATAATATCCAGGTGGGGCCACATTAACATTAATTGGTCCAATCACATTAGCCTTATAAGCAAACATGGATAACTGGACTACACTCAGCACGTTCAGGACCACCATCCTCTGGTTCATGCCAAACGAGTGCGTAGTAAAAGACGGTGCAATAACGGTGACGGAGACCCCCAGATCCAGACGGTAGGAGGAGCACACGAAGGTAACGGAGAACATCTCTCCATACGACACTGCTCTGTCGGACAACTCCACTGTCAAAATTGAAGGTCTTAGATACGAGTACTGTGGGTCCAGGTAATGTAGGTAAAAAGCTTCCAAACTCAGCTCAGTTGGGTAGGGTTTCCCTGTCATATTATACCTCTGGTGCGGATTGCTCCCTCCCACTAATATCCTGCCATCTGGCAAGAGCGCAGCTGTGGAGTGGTATAGCCTGGCAATCTTGGAGGAGCTAAGCACAACGAATCTTCGGGTCGGATCTTCATCTGGTTGGTAAAGAACCGGATTATAAACTGGATTCATAGCGTCATTCCAACCAGCACTTCCATTGGTTGCGCCGTTGATGATAATCAAGTCTCCGGTGGGTAACAGTAGCATATCGTTCATGATCCGAGGAATGGGCATTAGCTCCATGACCCATTCGGGTTTCGTGTCCGTCACCTTTAACCTGCCACAAGTTGTTGATGCTTGCTCGTAAATGTGGAGATAATTGGACTTGATATAGGCACCTTTCTGTGCCCCACCGCAAATCATGACCTCTGCTTCGGGATGGTCAGTCACATTGGTGATTCCGGTTAACCGGAGAGGAAGCAAAACAGAAGAGCCAGTGCAAGGGTAGTTTCTTCGGTCACCAACGGGCATAACCGGATACTCCTTGATCACCTTATTACGTTTGTAGTCAAGCGAGATGGATCGGTTGTTAGCAAAAATGAAAAGATTGCCATCAGGCAAGAGGTGCAAGAAGGGATAAAGATTGATCTCTTCTTGAGGGTCTCTGGTGTGTATTAAGAAAGGCAATGTGAAATTGTCTCTTTCTTGAGGGTTCTTGGGATAAAACTCGTAAGTGAAAGCCCTTCTTCCACCAACAATAATTATGCGACCATCAGGGAGTAATTGGTTACTGGCATACCATCTCCGGTTCCAAAGAACCTGGTTTGTCAGCTCCACCCAATCGCAAGAATCGTCACCGCAGGGGGTGAAAGAGCGTATTACGGCCTCGCCTGCTTTGTAACCGCCGGTTTGGATGAGATTGCCGGAGGAATCGAGGGAGCCAGAAGAGCACCAAGTGTTAGTTTGGACCATGAGAGGGCGGAAGGTGTTGGAAGCGATGTCATAAAGAACGGCGTGAGCAGTGCAATCTTTAGGCTTAACCACTTCGTCTTTGTACCGGCACTCGCCGTCTGGAAGAGAGAGATTGGAGCGGCCAAAGTCTGTGCGATCAAACATGATGACCTTGTTGTTTCTAAGGACTTGCATGTGCATGGCTGAGATGCCTATGCTTTCTTGGAGAACTACCCAGTTGCCCCCTGTTATGGTGGACAAATACGATCCAGCATGGGCACTTTCTGGTGAAAAGCTCATGAATATGTAGAAAACAAAGAGGAAGATGAAAAAAGGATGGTTCTTGATTGCCATTAATATTGTTGTTTTTTGAGATAGGCAAATGAGAGGGAGGTTTCTTGGTTTATATAGTTTGTATATCGATCGGAGGAAGAGGCCAGTGTAAGAAAATTTTTTCCCATTCTTCTCTAATTTAGAAGGGTTTAATTAGGGCTTCTGTTACGATTTGTATTTTCTCCTGGAGCAAAGAACGTGTGCAAAATCAGGAGAAAGGTTATGTTGGTGTAGATGGATTAAAAAATAAATAAAATCATGCATTATTAATTTGATTTTGCATGTTTGTTCATGAAAACTTATAAATTAGGGATCGTTAATAGGTCAAGTTTGAGTTTGTAGGTTATTTCATATATGTTAATCTCACTCAGTACCGCACTTGAGTTAAATAGATGGTACTTGGTGTAGAACCGCGCTATATTCTGCATAACAAGTGAATATTAAATTTTGATTATTCAATTTTTTATTTAATTCAAGTTTAAAATTAAAATTATATAAAAATTAATTTGATATAATTTAATTGACTTAATAAGTCTAAAAACAATCTGAACAATCAATAAAAAAATTTTAAGAATAAAATAAAAAAATAACAAAAAAAATCTCTTAATCCAACTCTTTTTCTAGCCTAAGTGATGCGATTCTAAATTTAATATCAAGAGATCCATTAAGTCTAGCCACAAGATTTAGAGCAAAAAGATTCAAGAAGGCAATTAATTGACTTCTTCAACATATATGCGCTAAGATGAAATTTAAGAGGATATCAAAAAATAAAGAACAAACCTTGATTAATTTAATTTATATTCAAGAAAGAATATTACAAAATGATTGAAATAAAGATATTTAAATCTGTTAGTTTTAACCTATCACCACTATTTTAGCCATAACTAGAACTATAAAATGAATTTTAACATGATTTTAATTGTATTTGAAAGTAGACATCCACATATTTATAGTGATACATGGCAAACCTTCTAATTCATTATATAACAACCTAAAATTTCCATGTAATTTTTATATTTCTAATCATCATGTCGGGGTATAATAAGGTGTCTTTTTTTGTGCAATCTATCTAACAATATATCTCATTATTAATTCTTTGATTTACCAAATTTACAGCAGAGTTTTTCCTATAACTTATATATTTTCTGAGTTTTTTTTTTTTATCATTCTGGATAACACAATATCAAATAACTCTATTACATACACGCAGTTGCTGAAGTAGCCTTTGGCTACCCACTAATTCAATTGCTTCTCCATTTGATTCTTTTAAATTGCTTCTTACAATTCATCTTATATTCTTTCTATTTTTCATTTACTTAAAATATTCATGTGATGGGCGCACGCGCACACACACATAACAAAAAAGATGCAATAACTAAATACTAGAAATACAGTCATACCATTTAGTATATTTTAAGATGAAATTATTAATATAATTTTAAGTATTCATAGTATATAAAAATAAATATCTAACAAAATTATAAATAGTGAAACGATACAATTAGTGCTAGCCGATATAGACCTGCAACATATATAGCATTATAAAAGTTATTAATCGTGAAGGAGACTTATACTCATGATTTTTTTACGAAGGAAAGGAATTATTATATATATTAACACTTTTAACAATTCTGCTCAAAACATTCAACTCAAATTTAATAATACCTCAACTCATATGACAATACTCATGCTCATTATTACAATTAAAATAACATTACAAATTTAATATCTAGCCATAAAATACATGTACGTGGTTTTTCATAAGGAATGAGAATAATGTGCTTATCTAGAATTTTTTTTAACATCAATTATATATATATATATATATATATATATATATTAAATTACATATTAGTTGTCATGGTGTCTAAGTTTATATTTGTCACTTTCAATATTGCATTTACACCAAATTAGGTAATACATTCAAATCTAAAGTTGCCGACTATACATCACAATGTAACAACTTATTTTTTTAATTTTTGATTCCCTAATCAATAATTAATATTTTATTTTCTTAATTATCGATTTTCTTAGATACAATCCTTGAAATAACCATGCATATCAATCTTATGTTTACTTATCACCATCATTGTATAACATAATTTATTTGTACTTTACCATACTTTTTATTTTCTAGGAATCATAACTATTTGTTACATTATCACCCCATTAACATTTGCTTTGACTTAATAGTACATCAAACTATATTAAGTTGTCAATCAACCCCCCTATCATATATATTTTTAAGCATTGGTAAATAGTCTTACAAATAGTTTCTATTATACAATCAAGGATAGTTTCAATAGTTTCCATTATTTGGAAACAACAACACCATGGTTTCTACTCATTCAAAACAATAGCATAATGATCTCCATTAAAAACAAAGAAAATCACATAAATTCCTTTTTTATTAGGAACAACTAGGAAGTAACTTTTGTTGCCCATGATTTAATATAAATGATATGTCAACTTAAATAGAAGCATAGGGAAATGAGAAACTACATCAGCATTTTATAATTAACCAAATAGTACTTTGTTTCGTTAGTCATCATTCTTTTAGGCAACTAAACATCAAAAGTTATCATATTTATAGATATTGGTAATTAATTATCAATTATCAACTTATATCTTGTCCTTAATCACCAATACTACGGTCATTAAGTATCATTCTTTTCTTATCTTTAGTCACAAACACTACTGCTACTAAGTATCATTCTTATCTCATCCTTAGTCATCGATACCATGGCCACTAATTATAATCCAATCATCCCCTCACAGATGCCAATAATTCTGGCAAACCCATTTGATTGCCAACAAATTCAGCTATCATTATCTTCCTACTGACTTTATCTTTAATATTTTAATTCACATCTTGATAAAATCTTATGCTACATTATTTTATTTGCGTTATTGATTACTATTTAAAAATATATTTTTATCAAGATTTTATATTACTATTTTGCACTTGAAGTATCAATAGCTCTTTAATAGCTCTTTAACTAGAGCATGTTTTATAATAACATATCTAATAAATATAAAATAAATTTAATTTATAGTAAATATTCATCTTAAATGCAGGCATATCACATAAATAAAAAAATTGATTAATGAGTATAACTTTTAAAATTTAGAAGACAAGAAGATAACCAAGCTTATAAAAGCGATAATGATTCAATTCAAACTGGAACACTATTCGATCATTGGATCATAACTAGAGTTATAGAACTTGGATTTAGGTTTACTCTATATGGATGGTGATTAGTACTTAAAAGTGCATTTTTATCATGGTTTTATATCATCATTTTGCACTTGAAGTATCAATAACTCCTTAACCAAAACATGTTTTATAATAATATATCTAATAATATAAGATAACTTTAATTTGTGGTAAATGTCCATTTTAAATGCAGCCCTATCACATAAATGAAAGGAGAAAATCCATACTTGCATTTAAGGGAATTTGAGGAGGTCTGCAACACATATAATAATTTAAATTGTAGCATGAACACCATTAGATTAAAGCTTTTTCCTTTTTCATTAAAAGATAAAGCTAAAACATGGCTACAAAATTTAAGACCAGGATCCATTCGTGCTTGGGATGAAATGCAACAACAGTTTTTAAAGAAGTTTTTTCCATCTCATAGAACAAACTCTTTCAAGAGACAAATCACCACTTTCACTCAAAAACCAGGAGAAACATTTTACCAATGTTGGGATAGGTATCGAGACTTGCTTAGTACTTGCCCTCATCATGGTTTTGAAACATGGAGATTGGTTTCACATTTCTATGAAGGGTTAACACCTAAAGATAGGCAAATGGTTGAATTGATGTGCAATGGAACTTTTGAAGATAAAGACCCTGATGAAGCAATGGAGTACTTAGACTTGTTAGCTGAAAATGCTCAAAATTGGGACACCGCGGGTACTTGTGAGGCACCGAGTAAAACTCAACCTCATACATCTAGTGGAGGTATGTACAACCTTAGGGAAGATCATGACCTTCAAGCCAAGTTTGCATCTTTAGCTAGAAAAGTCGAGGCACTAGAATTGAAAAAGAGTGGTCAATTAAAATCTGTTGAAAACATTGTGTGTCAAATCTGTGAAACAAATGAACACTCAACCAACGATTGTCCAACCTTGCCTTCTTTTAAAGAATGTCTCCATGAACAAGCCCATGCTTTAAACAGTTTTCAAAGGGCCAACCACAACCCATACTCCCAAACATACAACCCTGGTTGGAGGAATCACCCAAATTTCAGTTGGAAGAGTGACAATGCACAAACTTCACAACCACCGTTTCAAGCACACCATAATTTCCAAAATTCTCATGGATATGCACCTCCTTATGCTCCACCTCCTAGAAGAAATCTTGAGGAAACATTGCATGCATTCATTGAAAAGCAAGAGACAATCAATACTCAACTTGCTCAAAACATGACAGATTTTAAAGATACTCTTGCAAAATTAACATCTGCTCTCAGTTTCCAAGAGAAAGGTAAGTTTCCATCTCAAACACAACAAAATCCCAAAGGGCAATACAATGCAAATGCAAGTAGTTCCGGAAGCCAACACATGGATCAAGTCAAATCAGTCACTACTCTGCGCAGTGGTAAGGTTATTGAAAAACCCTCTCTTGAACCTTATGAGAAAGATGATGAGTCAATCTTTGAGGGTAAGGAAGGGGTTGAATCTGAAAATTGCAAAGAAACGACTGATTCACCGCCAGCACTTCCATTTCCTCAAGCCATGACCAAACAAAGGAAAGTCAATCACAATTCTGAAATTTATGAAATTTTCAAACAGGTAAGGATCAATATACCTTTGCTGGATGCTATTAAACAGGTTCCTTCCTATGCTAAATTTTTGAAAGATCTATGCACTGTGAAGAGGAAACTGAATGTGAAAAAGAAAGCCTTTCTAGCCGAACAAGTAAGTGCTATTCTTCAGAATAATAATGCTTTGAAATA